TAGTACCTTCTGAATGTCCTCAATCTCATCCTCTCTGCAGAAAACAATAAGTAAAAGAAAACTTAACATTAGTTGCACGGCTTGATGAAAATCGAATAGATAGGAGAAGCAAACTCTATGCTCCAAGGAGATTGATTAGTAATAACCACGCAGAAAAATTATGTTTCTCTTAAAAATAAATAAATAAACCATTAGCATGACCACAGGCAGAATGACTTCACTTAATTAAGTTAGTAAGTAAGCAGCAGCAACCATTTACAAAAGTACAGTCATGCATGACAATGCAACATTCAGAAGGTTGGTGATCTGAAAATCCAGTGTCATCTTCAGTCAGTAAAATGGTCCCAGAATGCTAGTTCATGCATTCACACTACATGACCAAATGTCACATCATGGGCAACTTAATGTCTAATTAAATACACTCCCAAGTCACAACTGAGTCAGGCTGTTTCAAGTGCTCGGGCTATAACTACTTGGTCTTCATTTATGTAACAAAAGCATTAACTTTTTTTTTCCCCAGTTCAAATCAACATTCCTTTTTGCCTTCACTAATAATATATTTATTAACACAATGTTGGGAAGTTTTGTGTGCTTTATGTAATTTTTTAGTTTATCATGTCTTCACCCACTAAAAGCAATGAAGGAAGAAAGAAAAGCAACTATTATGGCAATGGACTGGAGTTCATCCCATGTAGTTCAAACAACAAACACAGAACATTGAAAAACACAGGACAAAATATCACATCTTGTGGCAAAGATCAATTAAAAACTACAATAATACCATTATCAATGATCAATTAAAAACAAGTAGTCCACTTGATAATTCATAAAGCCACAGCTCATAAATTAGGCATTGAATGAATCCCTAAAGTAAATTTCGAAAATTAACCCAATTGAATCCCTAAAGTAGAATTTAGAAAGAAAAAAAAATTGAAATTGAATGACCCGAAGAAGAAGAGAACCAGAGAAGTAGGTGGTTCAGGTCAGTGGTATGGAGGATTACTGAAATTTGAAGAGGGAGAAGAAGAGGACTTACAGAGAAGGAGAGGGAGAGAGAGAGGACCGTAGCAAAAAATGGAGCCCATGAATGCCACTACTGTTGCAATAATAAGAAAAGGGGATCAATGAATTATAACATATAGAGAGTACAAAACCAATATCAGAACTCACCGCTGTGGAGAACGACAATGGAGGTCGCGACTGTGGCTTGGCTGTGGAGTCGCGATAGTGGCTTCGCGGTGAGGTCGTCAACGGAGGTCCTGAGTTGCGGTAGCTTGGCTAGGTCAAACTAGGGTTCCGAATTTGGTTTGGGAGAGTGCGAGAGAGGAGAGGAAGCATCAGAAAATAAATTTGTGGGGTGATAAAGTGTCAATAATAAAAAAAAGACTCAAAACCCTCTCTGTCTGTGTTGGTTGAGTTTGGTTTTTTGATAACCTCAAACCAGAGATGGCGAGAGAGAGAGAGAGAGAGAGAGAGAGAGAGAAGATGAACATATTGTAGAGTGAGTGGCTTGTGAGGAAGGAGAGTCAATCAGGATGAGAGAGAGCGTGCTTTGCACTTTCGGATTGCATCTTTTGGTATGGGTAATTTCAACCCGATTGTACTATAACAGTTCAACCATGGGATCGATCTGATGGCTATAAAGTGAACCCCTTATAACTTACCCCTTATAACTTACCCCTCATTATAGTCTGAGCCGTGGGCGCAGGGAGAGGAGGTTGCCAACGAATGGGAGGCCCAATGGCCCTGGGGGCAACGGCGGAGTGGTAGTTGTGGTCTTGTATTTTTTTATGAATAAAACCCAGAATATAACGACAAAGAAAGTGACGAAGAGCAATGTGTGAAAAACGTCGTCATTTTGAGACCACCATGAAGATAAGGAAATGGGTTTCATGGCTGAGCAGGAAGGGGAAGAAGAAGGCACTTGTGGACTGTGTGGTTGTGGTTGGTGTATCGAATGAGTAGCTTAATATTGGGAGCTACTTCTATAATCGTATAGTAATATATTTAAAATATTAATTTTATTTTGAAAAATAATTTGTGGCGCGCAGGTGAAGGAGGAGAAGAAGAAAAGATGTTTCGAACAAAAAAGAAAAGAAAAGAGATGGAGAAAATTAGAAACCACAAGGTGAATTGGGCCTAAAACAAATTACGTTGACGTGGAACTACTTGAGACATCTCTGCTATGTATTCGAGTCCTGCTGTCAGTAGTTCTCGTTGTTGCATTATTTGTAATTTTCTACATAAATCTATATTGGTGGCAGTTGGGAGTTGGGTGCTACGCGTAAGTCCTTCTGACTCGAGATTGTGGTTCTGCTCTGGCGCTTGTGGTGAGAGTAGCCAATCTCCCCTAAATTTTTTACCAAAAAATAAAAAACATGACTTAACCTATGGTTGTCACCAAAAAAAAAAATGACAGAAATATAAAACACAATAGAGAAAAAAAGAATTACCGTGCTGCACTACCAGTAGGCCATCAATTGCTAACACAATTATTATCTAAACAATAAATATATCCAAAGATTTTCTCACTTTGATTTTGATTTTCCATTTGCTTTCATTTGGAATGGATGAAGAAGCGTATGAGATTGCATAATATTGTTTCAAATGCATGTTCGCCCTTAAATTCGTATTCTCTTTGTGGTTTCATTAAATTACTATATTTCTTTGGGCACTTCTTTGTCTCTGTGATTCTTATTCTTCATTGTGAAGTAAACATTTTATGTTTGATTATCTTGGTAGTGACCCATTGTTTCTTCGTTTAGCATTTTCAACTATTTGAGAATTTTAACTATGTTTATATGAAGATGCTGATACTTCCTTACAATCATATGACAAATCAATAATAGGCTTTAATTTTCTGAAATTGATTCAACGGCAACAAAGGAAGATTGATGTAACAATTAGCAGGGACAGGGAGTTGCTGTAGGATTCTATGCAATGAAGTGCTTCCACTACTTCAACAACAAAATAAAGGACGTGGGAACAAAGATTGGCTTTTTTTCCTTCACGCGCGTTAAACAAGACTTACAACTTTTCTAGATCTCTGGTTTAAAAGTTTACGCTCAATAAAAAAAAATAAAGAAACTATTAAGACGAACATCTAGAAAATACAAGTGATAAAAGAAAACTTTTAAAATGACCACATAAAAAATACAACTAAAAAAAATTGTAAGTCGTGTGTAACACGCGTGAAAGGTAAAAAAGCCCACCGCACACATGCAGGGAGGCTAGTTAAAATTAAATAAGCGACAAAGATTACTCTAAATGCATGAAAATGCAGACATCTTAAATCTTGGTTATGTTTTGTTGAGATTGGTAAAAATGTCACGTGGGACCCATGTAGTAAATGAGGCAGCAAGTTCGGACTTTGGTTTGGCTTTTGGAGGATGTCATGCGTTGATCTTGCAGAGCAAGGTGTAGGCTTGGCTTGTAGAGGTTGCCATGTTACATTAAATGAGTGCTTGAAATTGAAGACACTTTGGTCTTCATTGGTGCTGCCGACGACATAGGAGGAGTGTTGGAAAAGCTTTGCTTTTCACGTTGAGCAATGGCCTATTAATATGCAGCAGCTGAGAGGCTTGTGCATGCAAGCGATGTGTGCTGTGTGTCAAACCAGTGAGGGGCAAATATAAGTGGGAGTGGGCTGCTTGTGAGATGCAAGCAAGCAGTCCCACGAACTCCAGGAAAATCAAGAGGGGATTCTCTTGGGTTCACTTGAGTATCAAGTGGGGAGCAACAACTCAGTTTGTGTGAGTGTCGTTTACATAGAAGGGAGTTGTGGTGTGAGAGTATGGTGTTCAAGAATATTTATCCCCGAATCCCCGATTTTTTTTCTTTCAAAAATATTTATCCGACATTATAACACTAATTTCACCTTAAACTAGCAATTGGCACAAATTTAGGGACTAGTTATTATTAAACCGGAGGTGAGATAAAATAGAGTACGAGAATAGTCTAAAGATTGAACCTAAGCAATTCTAAACATAAAATCCAAATGGTGGTTATTTCAATGACGATTTCAAGGTTTTCATTCATGAATTGAACCAAAGATAGGTATTAACATGAGAGATGTTAATTCATTTATCTGGCCGACAATAACTTTCAGTTTATTATTCTATTCTATTCTCTCACTCTTACTCATTATGGTTGTTTAAATCAAATCTTAGACAAGACAACCATGCTTTGTTTGTGGCGGAAAGCATGCAAACATGAACGATTAAATTAGATTACTTGATTATAAAGTAGCTCGTATTTTAGTGGTATTTTTATTCTAAATGTTAGAAGAGGTTTTACATTCGACAACTCATTTTGGATTTTGTTATAGACGGTCTTTTTACATATATCTATTAGAGATGTGGTAAATATTTAAATTGTTAATTAACATATCAATTTGATATAATGTGTTTGAAAATTTAGTGCCTTTATCATAACTGATAAGTAATTTTTTTAAAATGTCGTCCACCAATATTACGACGCGTGAATTAGTAATACGAGATTTGGCAATATTACGTTCACACAAACTTCTCCTCTATCGTTACATTACACACCTATTACCTATATAATACACGAGCGTATTTTAAGAAACTATATGATAAGAAGGGCGAGATACAGACAAATTATTACTAAAACAAAGCCTAAACTGCTCCACTTGACTCCCATGATCAGTAAGCAACAAAAAAGGTTAACCTGCTCAGGCTGCTCTAAATAGAAAAATCCAACAACAAAAACAAAAAATATACTCATATTCATCCAACATTCTTCCATACACAAGTCAAACATTAAAGAAGGAATGTAACAGTGTCAACATGTTAAAGTATTTAAAACCAGGAAGACTTGAAGTTCTTGATCAGATAACATATTCAGCAGAAGAATCAGAACAAAAAGCTCTCTCCCAAGAGAAAATATATATATCACCTGAGAAGACAAAATATATATATATATATATGGGAGGCTGTGACATGAATGGTCTCCTGTATGAGGAGAAGTTTAGTACACCAATGCCTTGGATTGGCATGTATGTAGCAGCAGCATCCTTTGCCTGCCTAATTGCAATGGCAGCAGATATAATCCTCGGCTTCCGGCACCATAAACTCTGGTTCCCTTGCAAGTTCTTCTCCATCAATGCCACATCTCTGACCTTGATAGGTGTGGCAATGAAATTGTCAGTGGATCTAAACACTCCCATGCCCAACCGCCAAGATCAGCTCGCAAAGCTCAGCAGCTCTGTCTTGATCTGCACAGCAATGGGAAACTCCATGCCTTCTCTTGGAGCCATGGAGAATGAAGAGATGTTCATGAATGTAATTGCTTTGGGAATTTTAGTCATTACCCTTATTGTCAACATCTGCATCCAATTAGCCACTGGAGCAATCTTTGTGTTCTGGAAGGAGCATGCTTCAATTATTTTCATCATGCTTGTTTTGCTCCTCATGTTGATTTTCTCTGCTTTATCTGTTCCTACCACCAAAAATTATTTAGAAAAAGGGTACAAGAAAAGGTTCCAGTTGTCTCATGCAGAATGCAAAAATGGAAGTTTCAGAAGAGAGGTCTCCAGACTCAAGGAGATATTGACTAAAATCTGGGTGATGGCTCACACCTCTAGCCCCCAATTTGTGATGGGCCGTTCGGTGACATGCACTGCTTCTGGAGCTTTCTGTCTTTTTGGTGCCATGATTTTGGCAGAAGCCATGCTTAGAACATACTTGATGCCCTGGTCGATAAAGTTTTGCACCGGCGAATCAGACTACAAATTGACAACCACTTTGATCCTATTTACACAGGCTATTGCAGTAGGAGTTGGTACCATTGCTCCAGCATTTAGATGGTTCATGGCGATAAATTTCAAGTGCCCGATAAGAGGAAACATGAGCTGCAAAAAGGAATTTGAAATTGAAAGGTACTGGGTTCAGGGACTGATGGAGTTGCAGAAGTGTCCTTTAAACTTTAGAATCCAAAACAGGCACTGCAGGAAACTTGCTCATCAAGCAAGGAACAAGCTCTTGGACTTATGTATTGCAATGCAGAAGGGGATTGTCCTATTGAGTAAAGTGATCCGATTCATTTCCATTTTCTTTGTAAGTCGGTTCTTTTTACTCCACGACATCTTCAAACAGTGGAAGATCAAGAAGTTTGAATTCGACACTGGACCAGAGTTACAACAAAACCGAAGGCAAGATCTTAGCGATTACGTTTTGTATCTTCAAGGTGAGGATGCATTGGTTCATTTCATGATGAATACAAATTGCGATGCTACTAATCATTGGATTCAGAAAGGAAAGAAAGAAGAGCCCAAATATCTCATCAAGCTCTTGGAGAACTCAACAGCCTCACAAGGATTCAAAGGAGTGGCAGAGTTTGACAGTGACCAAGTTCCCTCTCTAGACTGTGAAGAGCCTCCAAATTGTTGGGCTCTTCCTGTTGTGACACTAACAAGTATTGCTGTTGCACTTCCAAACATCAGCAGTGGTTCAATGAAAAATCTGATGCACGGCGTAAACGAGGGGCTCACGTACATGAATCTCATTGAGAAGCAGCTGGATAGCAAAGGAGATCTTGCCAACATCAGAAAGGCAGCAGATATTGTGTGGCTAAAAGTTGATCTATATCACACATGGCTAGATGTGGATCTTGGGAAAGTGTCACTTCAGGGAAAGAGCCCAAAGGAAACACTTGAAGGACTTTCAGAAACAGCAAAATCCATATTTGAAGAATCTAAAAAGAAGCAAATTAGTAAAAAAAATTACTTAAGAGATAGCCTCTCAAAATGGTCAATCAAGGAATTGGCTGCTAATTCCATGTACAGAGTATGCCAAACCCTTCTGCTAAATTGTGAAAACAGCAGCAGAAACCAGACAGATGAAAGATTATTTGAGGCCTTGGTTGTCATGATCTCTGACATAATGGGTGCATGTATCACTAATTTACAGCAATCTATGGCCATCAGGTGTCTCAACAGCAAAATCGAAAAGAGGGAGGAAAGTGTGAGGGATGCAGTTTACATTCTTGGTAAAACTGAGAAGATTTTTAGTATTGTGGACAAGGGAATTCCTTCAAGTTTGGATCACCACCAAATGGAAAACATTGATGAGTGGCGTTTGTTACACAAACCCAAGATCCCTTTGGTGGCCTGCACTTCATTTCTAATATCAGAGAGTGACAAAGCCTCTTCTGCAGGTACAAGTGATCATTTCTACCTTACCATGGACTGAAATTCACATGTTATTTGTACAATTAATGTTAGTTGAAATCAGCTTTCAACTTTTGCTTCATCTATGATATTTTTAGATTATATTTGCAGGGCATGAGACTCGTTACCCTTTCGATGTTATTTGTAATGAAGTGATCTAAGATAGTGGACCTAACACATAACCTATGTATGACTCCACATGTCTCTTGCTTATAACTGGTTGTATGTAATTATGTGTTCCTCATTAAAAAAAATATATATAATTATATATCTATCTCTCTCATCACGTGATTGATAATGTGACGAGGAAAACAGATACAAACTTGTATACAACCAGTTGTATGCAAGAATCACTCTTAATATTTTTTTAGTGGACACAGACTATTCAATTGTTATTGTAGCACGGTTTTTTCATATTATCTCTTTGGGCATCGTAGTTATAAGTCAGCTTAGTGTGGGTTGAGGAGGGCCCCCACGGCTGCTTTCATTCCTGCAAGAGGATTTGAATTTGTACCAAAAGCTTCCACTTTAATATAATTAATTATACCAACTCTCATGATTTCCAAACAAAATAATTATATGCTCTCATTGTTACTCATTGTGCCGTCCAAAGTGCTCTAAACCATGTTGGGTGACGTACTCAAGCACGCTAGCCTTGATTAATATATTATAAAAGCTGTATGATAATAAGATGATAATTTTCCCTGACGAGATAAGCCTGAATTTACTCCACTAGACTATCATGGAGGAAAATACCAAAAAAGTTCAACCTGTTCTCAACTCTCAACAAGAAGTCCAACCATTGAAAAAAGAAAGGAGAAAAAAAATTAATCTTCATTCATAATCAGCAGCAGTGGTCTGACCAGAAACAAGTCAAACATCAAAGAAGACACTATAACATAGGCAAGATATTAAGGCTAACCAAGTGGACCGGCAATACTTGATCAAATAACATTTAGCAGCTGCACAACCAGAGCAGAAAGATTTTCTCCCAAGAGAACACCACCTGAGCAAGAAGATGGGTGGCTGCAACGTCGATGGGAACCTGAACCAGGAAAATTTTAGTGCTCCTATGCCTTGGATTGGCATCTATGTAGCAGCCGCATCCCTGGCCTGCCTAATTGCAATGGCTGCAGATGTCGTCCACGGCTTTCGACACTGGAAACTCTGGTTCCCTAGCCAGTTCTTCTCCATCAATGCCACTACTTTGACCTTGATAGGCGTAGCAGTTAAATTGTCAGTGGATCTAAACACTGCGATGCCTAGCCGCCAGGATCAGCTCGCCAAGCTTAGCAGTTCTGTCTTGATCTGCACGGTAATGGGCAACTCTATGCCTTCTCTTGGATCCATGGAAAACAAAGAAATCATGATGAATATAATTGCTTTTGGAATACTGGTTATTACCCTTATCGTGAATATCTGCATTCAGCTAGCTACTGGTGCAATCTTTGTTTTCTGCAAGGAGCATGTTTTCATCATGTTCATCATGCTTATTTTACTTATCATGATGAATTTCTCTGCTTTAACTATTCCCATATCTAAACGTTATTTAGAACACAAGTACAATAAAAGGTACCAATTAGCTCTGAAAGAAGGCATAAATGAAACTGGTAAAAGAGTGGCTAGCAAACTTAAAGCATGTCTGATGAAACATTGGATGATGGCTCATACCTCTAGTCCCCAGTTTGTGATGGGGCGCTCAGCGACGTGCACAGCTTCTGGAGCAATCTGTCTTTTGAGTACCATGATTTTAGCAGAAGCCATGCTTCGGACTTACTTGATGCCCTGGTCATTTACATTTTGCAGAGGTGAGTCTGACTACAAGTGGTCAACCACTTTGGTTCTTGCTACACAAACAATTGCAGTAGCAGTTGGTACAATTGGTCCTGCATCTAGATGGTTCATCGCCATAAACTTCAGGTGTGCAAAAAGAGGAAACACCACCTACAAAGGAGAATTCAGAGTAGAAAAGTACTGGACACAGGGACTGATAGAGTTGAAAGAGTGCCCGTTATCTTTCATAAGAATCAAAAATAGGCACTGCCGGAAACTTGCTCATGACACAAGAAACAATTTTTTGGATTTGTGTATTGGAATGCAGACAGGGAATGTCATCATGAGTAAAGCAATTCGGCTCATTTCCATTTTCTTTGTAAGCAGGATCTTGTTATGCTGCGACTTCTGCAAACAGTGGAAGAAGAAGTTCAAATTCAACACTGTTTTTAACGACTCAGGGCCAGAGTCACAGCCAAACCAAAAGCTTGATCTTAGCTGTTATGTTCTGCATCTTGAAGGTGAGGATGCATTGGTTGAGCACATGATGAGAAGTAATTGTGATGCTACGGATCATTGGTTTCAGAGGGGAAAGAAAAGAGAGCCTAAATATATCGTTAAACTGTTGGAGAAATCAACCTTTTCACAAGGATTCAAAGGAGTAGCAGATTTCGACAGTGAAAAAGTTCCCTGTCTAGACTTGGGAGAACCACCAAACAGTTGGGCTCTACCTGTTGTAACACTAACTAGTATTGCTCTTGCACTTCCAAACATCAGCAGTTGTTCAATAAAAGAGTTAATAGGTGGTGTCCATGAAGGGATCATGTACATAAATTTTATTGAAGATTTCCTGGATTCTAAAGAGGATGTTACCAACATCAGAAAGACGGCAGATATGGTGTGGCTAGGAGTTGATCTCTACCATACATGGCTGGATGTGGATCTCCGTAAATTGTCACTTCATGGAAAGAGCTCAAAGGAGATACTTGAAGGACTTGCTGAAACTGCAAAATTCATATTTGAAGAATCTAAAAAGAAGCAAATGACTACGAATGTATGTTTAAGAGATACCCCTTCAAAATGGCCTGTCAAGGAATTGGCTGCTAATTCCATGTATAGGATAAGTGAAACTCTTCTGCTAAATTATGAAGGCAGCCTCAACCAGACAGGTGAGAGATTATTTGAGGCATTGACTGTCATGATATCTGACATACTGGCTGCTTGTCTCACGAATATAAAGCAAGTTATAAAGAGGAAGTGTTCGAACAGCACCATTGAAGAGAGGGAGGAAAGTGTGAGGCATGCCGTTTACATTCTCGGTAAAACTGAAAACATTCTGAATATTCTAGACCAGAGAATTCCCCCAAGTATGGACCCTCATCAGATTTCAAGCATTGATGAGTGGCGTTTGTTGCACAAGATGGAGAGCCCTTTGGCCTTCCCTTCTTCGTCTCCATCAGAGGGTGACACAGCCTCTTCTGTTTCAAGTGACTTCTACGTGATCATTGAATAGAATGCACAATCCTGGAGCTTACAACAGAGGCAGCTTATGATTCACATGTTACTACAAAAGTAGCTGAGGCAACTTTCAACTTCTGCTTTACATTTTTCTTTATGTTGATATATGAAACTAATGTACATATGTAGTAAAGATTTTATCTAGCAGGAAAACTATAAATTATAGAGCATGATCGTATCTATTTTCAAATCGATGCCTTCCCATGATAAATGCTTACTTTTATTCCTGGTTTTTCTGTCAGTTATAAATATACATCAACAGATTATCACCCTCTATGTGAGAATACATGGTTTTATTTTTTGGATAGGAATACATGGTTTGTAATAGGTTTTGATGATTAAAATGCAAGGCTTATGAATGGAGGGTTAGGAAGCAAATTCTCAGTAAATTGTGGAGAATTCAATCATTGAACAGACATTAGCATTAAGAACTAGGAAGGTAGCTATGCACATTGAACAAATTTCCAAATTGAATAGCCAATTGAACAAAATCCCAAAAACTTTCCTTTCAATTCCTACACTTTCTCAGCAACCAAACGGAGAAAAGAACTACATTCACAAAAGAAATTGCATCCATTACTGGGACCAAAAGCAAAAGGCTCAGATTTCCATCGAAACCCAACACTAAAAAAAATAAAAATAATACATATATACCCAACGAAATAAAGATGCGCTTCACTCTCCGCTACGAGAAAAGAACCTGTTTCGGAACGACGTCGTACGGCGAGATCTACTGGTTCTGGTTCTCGTCGTCCCTCTTCTTAGGCTTCCGGTAAGTCTCTTCGATGTGCTTGGCGATCAAGAGGCCAGTGGTGGAGAGCTTCTGGATGTTGGGGACGTTGTAGTTTTGGGCAACGTAGATGCCGAACACTGAGCCCAATATAAACGAGAAGCTGCTTCCCATTATGCCCATTGTTGCCAAAAGTGCTTTTGCGCTTTCAAAAGTTGAGCTTTCACGGGAAAAGGATTTGGGTTTTGGGATTTGGATTTCGGGTTTTGGATGCTTTGGATTTGAATCACCGTATGAATTTGTAGGGATCGGCTTCTTGCTCCTCACTCTTTCTTGGGTGATGGGTCAGCAGCTTTTCCTTGGGTAAGAGGTTAATTAATCAACACAAATCCTTTTCGAAGTCAACTTCTTTGTTTTCTGAAAGTTTTTAAAGAAATTGGTTGGAATGCATCTATGCACGTAATTTTATTCAAATGTTAAATTTCATGACAAATTGTCTTCCATATAAACCAAATTATTGGATACTACCCCCTCGTGTTTTTTTTTTCTTTTTTCTTTGAAGACTAGGACCCATGATCTGATTTGTTTTAAATTTTAAATTTTATTAATATAAAAAAGTATAAATTTATCATATTATCCTCATTTAATTAATAATTTTCATGCTTAATATTTGCATTAACTAAAGACATTTTATCGTATTTTGAATGTTTCATCATTCTTTAACTTTTACTTTGTACATATGTGATACAGGGTTTGGGTCGCTCTCTTGTTCACGCGAGAAGAGCCTTGACGGCTAGGGTTAGGGTTTCTCTAGTTTTCTTTATTCATTCTCTGGGCCGTCTCTATAACATCCCACATCGACCAACGGAGAGATGGTGATATGCCTTATATGTACATGCTCATCTCCATCTAGCACGAGGTTTTTTGGGAGCTCATTGGCTTCGGAGTCATGGGATCTCCGAAGTTAAGCGAGTTGGAGCTAGAGCAATCCCAAAATGGGTGATCCACTAGGAAGTTGCTCGTGAGTTCCCAGGAACAAAACCGTGAGGTCAGAGAAAGGGGGCCCAAAGCGGACAATATTGTGCTACAACAGAGCCGATCCCCGGATGTGACAATTTGGTATCAGAGTCACTTTGCCGTGTGGTGTAAGTGTGCCGACGAGGACGTCGGGCCCCTAAGAGGGGTGGATTGTAACATCCAACATCAACCAACGGAAAGGGGGTGATGTGCCTTATATGTACATGCCCACCTTCATCTAGCACGAGGCCTTTTGGGAGCTCATTGGCTTCGGAGTCATGGGAACTCCGAAGTTAAGTAAGTTGAGGTTAGAGCAATCCTAGGATTGGTGACCCACTGTGAAGTTGCTCGTAAGTTTCCAGAAACAAAATCGTGAGGTTAGAAAGGAGGGCCTAAAATGGACAATACCGTGCTAGGGCGGAGCCGATCCCCGGATATGACAATTTGGTATCAGAGCCACTATGCCATGTGGTGTGAGTGTGTCGACGAGGACTTCGGGCCCCTAAGAGGGGTGGATTGTAACATCCCACATCGACCAACGGAGAATGGGTGATGTGCCTTATATGTACATGCCCACCTCCATCTAGCACGAGGCCTTTTGGGAGCTTACTGGTTTCAGAGTCATGGGAACTTCGAAGTTAAGCAAGTTGGGGCTAGAGCAATCCCAGGATAGGTGACCCACTGGAAAGTTGCTCGTGAGTTCCCAGAAACACTCTGAGGGCAGAGAGAGGGGCCCAAAGCGAACAATATCGTGCTACGGCGGAGCCGATCCCGGGATGTGACAGTCTCTCTCAATCTTTTCTGATTGTCTATTTGAGTTCTCTTCTTGGTGAATTGTTGTTTTGTTTTTTTTTTTTTTTTTTTTTTTTTTGTTTTTTTTTTCTTTCCATGGGGTGGTTGCATTGGCTTCCTTTCTAGGTTCCTAATGAGCCAGTCGCGAGTGAGGGGTCTCCATCTTAACGCTATAGAGGTGGCCACTGCCTCTTCTGCTCAAGGGAATGACAAGTAGGAGCCACCAAGAAGGAATCAGAAGCATGCGAAAACTGGTGTTGGGTATCTAATTGTTAGTGGCATGGATTTTTTTGGTAAGCATAGTTTTTCTATCTAGGATTTTGTTGACAAGGCGGAGGAGACCAGCCTCGAGGGGTCTCCAAGATCTCCCTAATAATTATCCTATGGAACGTTCATGGGCTTGGCAACCAATGAACGTTCCTACTATGAAGATCTTTCTTCGGAATTTTCTTTAGGCTAAGAGGCCAATCTTGGTCTCCCTTGCTTGTCAGATAGGGTTCTGGATCAAGAAAATTGGAGGTGTCGGTTGATGTTTGGCTGGATTTGTTATGATGCTCACAATACGTTTTTGACTTTGTACAAAGAACTATGATGCTTTCTTTAGTTCATATGAGGCTTTCTTTGATAGTATCTGCATAATGATGGGATGTGATTCAATGGTTTTGCGGTTAAGTAAGTAGTTGGATCTATTCTAATAATCATAGTACGTTTTTGACTCTGTACGAAGAACTATGATGCTTTTTCTAGATCATAGGAGGACTTCTTTGACAGTACCTACGTAGTGATGGGATGTTGTTTTAAGGGTTTTGGTGGTTGGGTTTTAGGTTGGTTTGTAGTATAAGTTGTTTGACTCTTCTGTTTAGTCAATAGCATAGATGGTACTCTTTCCTACTTTGGGATTTTGTTTCTCTAGGAAGGTTTTAACGAGACCACCGTTAACATGCTAGTTCTTACCATGTAATGTTCCTTTCGGTTTAATGAAATACCATCTTTTCTCAAACCAAAAAAAAAGAAAAAAAACTTTGTACATATAGATTTAAGTGACCACATATCATTTCTGTTACGGCATGACTTTATTCATTTAATTTCTTAAATTTTTTTAAGTGGAATTGGATGATATTGTGCTCTCTCCCTCCTCGTGCTACCATAAGCCGTCGTCGTCTCTCTTTCTGATTTTCTCTTCCATGCAAGACCCAAGCGTGTGTTATCACCTAAAACTGTATAAAACATCAAAACATTATGGGCTATATGAGTTTAAGCAAAGGAGTTCACATTCTTGGTAAAACTGAGAAGATTTTTAGTATTGTAGACAAGGGAATTCCTTCAAGTTTGGATCACCACCAAATGGAAAACATTGATGAGTGGGGTTTGTGTAACAAACCCAAGATCCCTTTGGTGGCCTGCACTTCAGTTCTAATATCAAAGAGTGACAAAGCCAATATATCTTTCTCATCACGTGATTGATAATGTGACAAGAGAAACAGATACAAACTTATATACAACCAGTTGTATGCAAGAATCACTCTTAATATTTTTTCATGGACAAAGACTATTCAATTGTTATTGTAGCAGGGTTTTTTCATATCATCTCTTTAGGCATTGAAGTTATAAGTCAGCTTAGTGTAGATTGAGGAGGGCCCCCACGGTTGCTTTCATTCCTGCAAGAGGATTTGAATTTGTACCGAAAACTTCCACTTTAATATAATTAATTATACTAACCCTTATGATTTCCAAACAAAATAATTATATGCTCTCATTGTTACTCAGAGCACTACCAGCAGTTTGCCCCTTACCATGGCGGGGGCTAAGGCAGCTACTGTTCACGTGAATAATGGCTGCCCTTGCAAAAATCAATGTGTGTTTCCAGCAGTTGCCCTTTGCCATGGCAAATACTATTCATTTTTTTTGTTTTTTTCACAACTTTTTTTACCTAAACAATTCATTTGGATAATATTTTCGGATAAGATTTTTGGATTCCTACATGTCAATACTATTCATATCGGATAAGATTTTCGGTTTCAAATTTCAAATTTTAGATGAATTTCAAATTTCAAATAAGATTTTCACCCTCTAAAAGTGCGCCACTTGTCATCTCTATCTGCCTAAATTTTTGTATAAAACCAGAGGCTCAACTCATACCTCCCACACCAGATCTTCTCTACATTTCCATTTCTCATATTTTAGATTTCATTCTCCATTCTGAATGGCAGACATGCAAGAGGTTTTGGAGAGGCAAGAGCGAGAAACTAGAGAAAGAATGCGTAGATGAGCTGCAAGCAAAATGGCGCAGAGAGAACTAGATGAGCAACTTGCCATATCAGTGGCTTTGCTTGATGAAGAAAACCAGAGCCACCGTGGTTCTCGAGAAAATTGCGTCTCATAACATCCCTTCTTTCTAGCTTCCAAAATTATTTTGTTTCAGGGGATATATGGCTTGTATCCATGGCCATGGTGTCCCGATCCTTTTTTTCAATGTTTTCTTGGCGTACATACTCCCTTTCTTTGCGTATATACTCCCTTTCTTTTGCATATTCTAGTTGAATTGCCTTATCGTGCTCTTGGGTTTTCATGTCCATTTCAATTCTCATGGCTTGGTGCCTTGAAATTTCCTCCAAATTTAGATGCATTATTGGTAGAGTTACTCCCTCTCTTCGCCTTTGCCGCCTTCCTCCTAATACGCCTCGGCTCCTTTTGGATAGGTGAGTCTTGACTCATCAGGGAATCCATAGGTGAATCAGATGCCCGTGAATCATGAAGTAGCGTCTCGTTCAACACCACCGTTGGACCCGTTGGAATAATTCGGAATATCTTACAATTCTTCACCACCTCCCAACATTTGGTATTGTTGAAAGTTTTTTTGCCTTGCCCAGTAGCACCATACCACATTTGTGCTTGCATAATCTATATATAAAAAAAAAGGAAATGCAAGAAACTTTAAAAAAAAATATTGGCAATGCAACAAGTATAAAAAAAAATTGGAAATGCAAGAAATATTAACAAAATATAAATATTGCAAGAAACATTTAAATAAATATTGAAAATACAAGAAATATTAACAAAATATATAAATTGCAAGAAACATTTAAATAAAAATTAATATGGTATAGAAATTAATAAAAGGAAAATTACAAATAATTTACCTCATTGCTAAGGTTTTGCCCGCTTCTATGTTTGTCCATCGCTTTTGCCAAGGAATCTCTCCATTTTGCCAACTCTTTATTGAGAATTTTCCACCTACTAGATAATGTCATTTATGTACACCAATTGCCCTTTCACAAAATTCTTGATGAATTTTTTTTCCACTTATGACAGAATTTCATATCATTGCCCGTTACGGGACAATGACTAATTTGGACCCAACACTCACACAACAAAACATCTTTCATCATGCTCCATACCCCTCCGGTTTCAATAGAAGAAGCCATAATATGATAGAGAAAAATAAAACTTGAAAGTGAAAAAAATATTGAGTAGAAAGTGAGTAATAGTAGAAGGAGAAGAAAATGTAAGAGGATTTGGTGTTAAAAGTGAAGAGTATTTGTTGGTATTTATAGAAATAAAAAATAAAAAATTCAGTATTTTTTTGGTTTTTTTATAAATAAAAAAAAAATTTTGATTTTTTTCATTTTTTTTTATTGCACAAAAATTGGCTGCCGTTGGATTGGAGGAAAAATTCTGATCGGATAGACCAAAACGCGACATGTGGCAGAGAGCCGTTGGCGGTATTGTAGCGGCGCAGTCAAATTTTTTTGGGGAATAAGCTGGTGTAATCAGCTTTCAAAAATAGTGTGCTGAAATGATCAGCCTACAAATTGTGTTCTAATATAATCACTTGGGGACGTGAAATGACCAAAGTGCCCTCCATATAAAAGCAGATGTATCAACCCTTTAGCGCCTCTTTTTTGAACTCTCTTATCTGTTTTCGCAATTTGCCAAAAATGGGGGAACTCGAGGTTGCGAGACCTTTTGGCACTGAGCAATCCAGTTCGCAACCCATCCATAGTCATAACTGAGATGTCCTAAACTTTGGAGCCCTAGTTTGACCGTAGCGAAGCCGGCGGAACTCACAGCCTCCATTGTTGACCTCCAGATCAAAGTGACTGTTGCGACTCCACAGAGAAGTGAAAGTGGCGACTTCCGGTGTCATTGTGAACGGAGGTGAGTTCAGATATTGGTTTGGTAGTGTATGTGTATTATAAAATCGTGCATCCCCTTTTCACCACAGAAGGGCAGAAGAGCTTAAATTTTTAGTTTGAAGGCGTTATGATATGTTGAAATTCATAGTTTGTGTTATTATCTGCAGTGGGATCTGTGTGGTAAACTTGAATTTTGTTTAAAATTGACCGAATGCTTGTATAATGTAGTGCAATGTGTTTGATAATGGGCAAAATAACATAACACAGAAAAATCATATGTTAACTTTGTCTGCCCTAAAAATAGGTTTGTTAGGGTAGTTTTAGGCTCAATTTAGATGCTAATGTGGGGAACTTATTGGCATTCTGGGTTTGTTTTGGTAAGAAGTATAGTTTGTGTGTTTTGGTTTCCAGTTTGGTAATTGAGCTTATACTACATAATACGTTTTGTATCACAACCTGAGCCTTTTGTTGAAGGTGTTTACATTTGTTGAAAACCCTTAGAGGTTAGAGGGTTCATATTGTTGCCATGGTATGCTTATGTGAGTTTGTTAATAACTTGGAACCCACAGCTATGTACAAAATCAGAGAAAAGACAGAAAGGAATAAAAGTTCCTTGTTGAATCAGCTACAATTTGAGTTTTGAAGATTTGAGGATTTATAAAATGATACGTGTAGTGGAATGATTGTTGTGTATGTTTTTATTTGATGGAATTTATCTTTTTTAGTGTTATTCATTGTTGTAGTAATTATCTATGTTATTTGCAGAAATGGATACTGTTGGAATATTGGTATGCTACAATGGAAGTTGGGTTAAGAAGGATAACATTGAGAGTTACGAAGGTGGGGAGGCTAAAGGCATAATAGTGTCACGGAACGTAACATTTTCCGACCTTGTTTAGCGCATTTATAAGATCATGGATGCAGATCCCACGAAATATATTGTCACACTGACGTATTCAGTTCATGTATCCTCATTTGTCTGTAAGCACATAAGGTTGAAGACAATGATGATGTTCAATATTTTCTAAAGTACAACACAGATGTTATGGCCTCTAAAGTAACCCCTTTAGTAGCAAGCTTGAAAAATATCGAAGGTCATGGTATTGAAGGGTGCAATGGCATTGTAAGTGTTGAGAGTAGCAATGCCCCTGCTAACTTTGTTGTGGAATAAAGAAATGTGGTAATTCGGGACAATGAAACTGAAAATGGTGGGAATGATTTTAATTGGAGTGATTGGGTTGAAGAAGTGAATTTTGAAAGTGGTGAAAACATAGTTGCTGATTTCAATGAACCTAGCAACGAAGAGGAACCGCACTCTGCTTCGATTGTGCATCCTCATGAGGATAGCAATGTCGAACCGTCCACTGTGCAGTGTAGACAGGTGCAATCCGAACCTCCCCGACAATCAAGTTCGACTGAAATGCATACAAGTCGGGCTGATTTGAAGCATGGTCAGAGTTTGGAATATATTCATTATGGTGGAGGTCTTTCGTGCATAAATTGGGAAGCAAATTTGAAGGTTGGCCGAGTTTATCCAAATAAGATTGCCCTTTTAAAAACCATCAGTTTAGCAGCAATTACAGGCCACTTTCGATTGAGAACTGTCCAATCTGGGAAGCGTCGGTTGTGTGTTCGCTGTTGGCAGCTTCCTTGCCCTTGGAAAGTTCGGGCAGATAAAGTTGGATTACATGAGTTTAAGGTTGTTAAATACGATCCACTTCATGAATGTGATCTAAGGTATGTAAGTAGTCATCATCCTCAAGCTACGACTGAATTGCTGTCTGACTGTGTTAAGTGGAGATTTCAGGATTCACGCAACATTTATACTGCAGCTGATATCAAGAAAGATGTGAAACAAAATTTCGGTGTGAGCATAAGCTACTCTACAGCGTGGAGAAGCCGAGAGTTAGCTTTCAAAAGAATTAGAGGGTCTGCAGAAGAGTCGTATTCCCTTCTCCCTTCCTATTGTTATGAATTGGAGCGTACAAATCCGGGAACTTTGACATACGAGGATTTAAGTCGTCAATGCGGCCCGTGATTGCTGTTGATGCTACCCATTTGAAGTGAAAGTATAAAGGTGTTTTGTTTGTTGCGACCGCATTTGATGGAAATCGGAACATATATCATGTTGCCTTTGGGATTGGAGATTTGGAGACGAATGCAGCTTGGGAGTGGTTTTTGAGAAAACTACATTGTGAAATTGGTGATTGCTCGAATCTTGTTGTCATATCAGATCGCAATGTTAGCATACAAAATGGGTTACGTAGAGTTTTTCCTGGGGCAAGCCATGGTATTTGCTTTTATCACTTGAAAGGCAATATGAAAGCCTTATTTCAGTTGAAGCAGTGGGATCCGATATTGGGGTCTTTTGTAAGGGCAGCTAAGTCTTATCGTCTAGCAGAGTTCAATCGTCACTTTTCCAGGATAAACAATGACCGAGTGCGAACTTATTTACTACGTGCAAACGTCTATAAGTGGTCTCGGGCCCATTGTGATGGACGACGATATAATGTGATGACAACGAATATTGTGGAGTCCATTAATTCAGTTCTTCGGTTTGCAAGGATGCTTCCGGTGCTACACTTGATTGACGAAATTACAAATCTACTTCTCTATTGGTTTAGGCAACGTCGAGATTTAGCAATGAAATCTCATTCTACGTTGTGCCCTGATTTTGGGGAAAAGAAGTTAAGGAAGAGGTTAGACGCTGCGTCAAGGATGAATGTGGTCAAAATCAATGATGTCGAGTACAATAATTTGGATGGTGATTTGAACGGTCTGGTGCACTTGCAAAACCGTAGTTGTACATGCAGGAAGTTTTACTTGGAGCAACTCCCGTGCAAGCACACTATTGCGGTATGTCGGCACTTGAAATTGAACCCCTACTCCTTTGCCTCTTCTTATTATACACGAGCTACATGGGCAGCTGCATATGCTGAATCTATTTATCATGTACCACCTGAAGGCACATGGGTTATTCCCGAAAATTTGAAAAAGGTCAAAATCCTCCCTCCTCTTTCTAAGGTTATGCCGAACCGTCGCAAAACGCAAAGAATAGCTTCTAAAGGAGAGGAGTCCCGTCAAAAAAAATGCTCAAGGTGTGGTGTGAAGGGCCACTACCGAAATACATGCAAACAATCTATCCCTCTCACCAACAAGCAGCACGTTGCATAGATGTTACACTTGTTTAGTTTCTACCTCTTTTTTCGTCAACTGCGAAGTTGATGAATAGCTTCGATGATGCTGCAGGGATGGAAGTCGGTCGACTCAACGGTCATGTGAAGCATATGGAACAAGGTAACAAGTCCTTTGCAATGAGAGCCTATTATTAGTAGAAATTGGTGAACATACAGTGCCATCACCACAGTGAAACCAGCTGTAAATTAACAATGTTCCACTGGCCAATGTGTGTTTCAGATTAGCATTTTTGTTCATTTGTTATGTACCTTTTATTTGAAATTGTATTGAATTCGATTTGGTGTTCTCTATTGTGATTGTAGTCACATTGGCATAAACTGCTTTCCTTTCCTAGACAACGTCATGTATTCCTGTTTGTATATTCACATTATCGTCATGCTGTTGTCCTTTTGTTGCGTCCAAAATGAAAGGGCCTAGAAGGCTAACTACAATTGCATCTCGTGCATAAAACTCCTTCAAATGCAAATCTTACGCAATTACTATGATATTGGTAGTACTTCATGATTTCTCATTGTTCTCATTGCCATAGAACACAATATATAGATAATTTTTGGGAAAGTATCCATGCAACTGCACATGGTCAACAGATCGCGATATTATCTATAATATGACGATCTATCGTGATGTGAACTTTAAATAAAAAGCATTATTCACTTGAAGTCACACACACAGAGGATGAAACCCTTCCCCCCTTCTAGGTTCTGAGCTACTTAACCACAACGGCAGTCATCGCTTTTTGATTACTGACTATGGACTCTGGTATTTATAAGTGTTCCAACCTGTTTTGCAAAATAAAAATTAATTAGTTAGTGTTCTATATTGTTGCTCAAATATTTCATTACTTCATGTCATTCATTTCTGTCCAATTTAATCCATTTCATGTTATTGCTTCTTTAAATCGAAGGTTCATTATAAGTACTGAAATTACTAACTATCCCTTCAAATTGTTGCTTCATTACTTAAATGTCGATAATCCTTTTATTTATTTCCTATTTAATTCTTCCTTTCATAACTGTATTTGTGTTCCACGTAAAAATTTGCATGTATGTATACTGTCCATGGTTTGTATGGAATCGATATCTTTCCGATCTTTCCATGAATATTTCCATGCTTCAGAACCACCGATCTTTCCTAAACCCTCCATCTTTACGACCTTTGCTACAGTACCTCTTTACCATTACTCAGATGGACAAGCTATATTTTATGGTTCCAATCAATAAAGCATCAATAAAACCACAATATACCTACCCTACAATTACAATATGACACAATACAATAGCAATACATGCACAATAAAACAACAATATAACTACTGTACGATTCCAATATGAGACAATAATATAGCAATACAAGAACAATATAAATACTTTACGCTTCCAATATGAGGGCAATAAACGTACAATAAGCACACATCCACTACACAACACTTTACATTTATACAAACTTACTAATTTGCCACTCAACCGTGAGAATAAGAGGAAGGAGTAAACAAGGCACCACATTCATACAAAATCCATTTCATGTCCACAAAATGCTTTGAACCCGTACTTACCCTGACCCAGCTACACAGACCCTACCAAAATCCAAATGGTTACAGGTCCATCATTAGATCCATGTCCTTGGTCTTCTTCCTAGCTGCATGCACAAGGCTATGATCAGCCATTCCTTGGCCGTACCTATTCAGCACCTGCCAGACACCAGCAACATCTATTTCGCTCCAATTGTAGTCTGGTAAGATGACAGAAGCATAATCTCGGAACATCTCGAACCCATTGTTAAAAGATTCAACCATTTGATGGTTAAATTCTTTGTTTCTTCCAATTTGACCTTCAACCAGTCTAACTTTGCGCTCCGACTTTTGGCTTTCATTGTTTGTTCACTTCTCTAGCATATGCTTTGTTCAGCTTGTTCGTCAAGTTTGCCATCACCTGGCCATGAATATCACATTTCGTTTCCCACCAATCCGTAGCTGTACACAAATATTGAAGGTCATGCTTCACTTCAGCAATTTTGTCTAGTGGATCATTGTTGTCAGCCTCACTTCCAGATGACGTGGGATCTTTACTTGGAGTCCCAAGTGGAGATGGGAAAGGGACATGCCATGGCTGGTCTCCCGGGTAACTGCCATGGTCGTTTGGAGGGATTACGTCTGACATCTTCAACTATGAATGGGGAAATTGCACACATGCACCGTGCAAAACAGTTAACATTAGGTTCAGTCTGCAGTTTTTTTTTCGTAACCAACAATAGGGTGAGCTTTAGTATAGCTTTGCTCTCTGATATATACGAAGTACTCTGTTTGATATGGAATTGAATGAGTAAGTTAAACCCTCTTATATAGAGGAAGTTGTGTCTTTTATATTTATTTCAAATAGTACATTACAAGTCAGTCTGCACCCTGTTCTCCTCTCCCTCAGTCAGAGCATTGTAATATGCCCATTACAGCCTTACCAAATACGAATAAAGGTATGTCAACAGTGGAATAATCGGTCGTACAAATATACACACCTAAACAACTGTGAATACACAAAATAAACACAACCTTACTAAAAAACTGTATACTATCTTAATATTCAAGGTCTTGACATAGGAATACTACAAATGACGACCAAGTTCCCTAATTATTAATTTACGAAATATACAGAAATGTTTATAAATTATTCAGTATTCCCTACAAATGACGAGAATATATTCTGTCCATATGAGAAAATTAAATAACACCAAAACAGTCATATACAGTCCCGACCAAAATTTCAAGGCGAAGATAACGTAAAGTGGGAGGAATACACCTCAACATATTTGCAAATATCAAAATTCACAATTCGGAATTTACCGATATATTAAAAAATGGAACTCATATACATTAGTTATTTGGAAGGAAAAAGGAAATTGGAAACACATATACATTCATGGTCCCTTTTTGTAAACCTCTGCATTTGTACATTGTCAAATGAACGTACTCATAAATTTGGGACATTTTGTACTTTTGGGACATTTGTACTTTTGGTACACGGGGGAAATTGGTCAAAGAGGACAAAAGGAATAAATTGCAAATACAACAAAGGTCCCATACAACAAACACCAACCAATAACCTAATTACACAAACCCCAAGTCTAACGTGTTGGCCAACAATTGGACCCAACCACTCCCGCCAAAAATTGGAGCCAACAACTCTCGCCAATAACTCCTGCCAGTTGCTGACTGTCATTTACTCCTACTCATTATTACCTCCCACTATTTAATTGTAACTCAGCTGCATCCACCCAACATTTCCATCACATTTACTCCGTCAAACCCCCTGCTTGCGCAACAATTTCACCCACATATCACAATTACTTCCAATTTGGGCAAACTAATGCCCACACCAAACCCAACACCCATGGACCGAAACCCCACACCAAACCCAACACCCATAGACCGAAACCCCACACCAAACCCAACCCTTGCCATTACTGAAGGAGGGGACACTGAAACACCTGCCAAATCAGCAACAGAAGACACTGAAGACTGGGTCCATGGACTACAGCAATGTCGAGCCAATACCATGTTCTGGAAAAATCTCCATGCAGACATAGTGTTAAAAATTAAAGAGGGCCAAGCTAGGTGGGGTGTCATAAAAAACCGCACAATTCGGGCGCGTTATCAAGCCCGGATGCATCTCCTACATATAAAGGCTGTGAGAGCTAAAATTGAAAATGTCCCTGCCACTGCAGTTATTGTATTCAAGGAATCTGACAAAATGGCTCAGCTGAAGCAAAAACAACTGGAATCCGATTTCGAACTATTTAGGAAGTTTGCAAAAATTGTGGATGCAGAAGGAAAGTGGGACATCACTATGGGAGGGGTCATGAATTTAATGGGTCGCGGTCGCCGTATTTGAAGGGTATGCAACTCGAAATGTGTCCATAGACAGAAGGTATGACTTGTAATACGACCATGTCAACGATTGTGGACAAACTTTGTATAGTGGAAGTATGACGTGGCCTCTTTTTGTATTATGTATGTATGAGGTGACCTGTTTATGTATTTATTTTGTATTATGTAAGTTTGAGGGGGCCTCTTTTGTAGATATGTATAATGTAAGCTTCAGGTGTCATCTTTGTTAACATTGTATTAAGTAAGTTTGTGGTGACCTTTTGTTTTGTTTTGTTTTTTTAATTTTTTATTTTTTATGTAAGTTTGCGGTGGGATGTTATTTTATTTTGTATTCTGCCAGTTTAAGGTGGCCTTTGTATTATGATTGTTCTTGTTGCCTTCTTTGTTGTTGTATGCTGGAAGTTTGAAAACTACAGTTGATGTAATTTGGATGCATTCATTTCATATCCGAATTATAACGTAATTACCTTCCACATAGTTCAAATTTGTACACTTGTAAAATGACATTGCAAAACCAATACGGAAGACAGTATAAAACAAACAATTTAGAATAGCAGTACCAACCAAAAATAATGCACAGGTTACATTGCAATGCCAATATACATGCAATAGCTGGCATTAGAAAACCAATAAAGAGCATTATAAAATCAATAAAGTGGCAATAGCAAACCAATATAGTTGCACTATAACACCAATACGTCAGTAATAAACCAATATACACGCAACGAAGAATTAGCATATACTGTATTTCCAAGTGTATACCATGGCATATGTGGATTCCAAAATAAGGGTATGAATAACATTCCAATTTGGATTAGGCCCTGACTGTTGCCTATGGTAAAGTTTGATATTTTTTTATAAAAACCACCCCATAAACTCCAGGTTTCATGTTGGTGCGCTTAGACGGTTTTAATATCCAAATTTTGCACATGCAAGTGAAACCCATTGACTACAAGATGAGCCTCTTGACCTCTCCAAATAGCGCACAAGTTGAACAACAATTCATATAGAGAAAACAAGGAGATGAGTAGGAGGAGCCTCCGTAGCGGTGCAGCTGAGTCAGTGAGGTCTCCATGGCACTCTTAAGAGTCGACTTCAAGGTCTCACTGGGAAATGGAAGACGCGAGTTCAGTACGTTCACGGCTGTGCTACTGTGGGAACGTTGTCAAAACGCATACATCGTGGACGGTTTCTCATCCTGGAAGGAGGTTTCAAGTATGTGCAAAGGTAAGTTTATTTCTCTGTAAGTTTGACCTGACATTTGGCATTTTCGTGGATTCCAATTGTGATGTTGCGCCTCTTTGTAACGGAAATATTGTTTCCGTTTATGCAGACGAATGATGTACATTTTGGGAATGGGCTTACCTAGAGATGTGTGACAGATCGAAGCACATAATTCCAGGCTTGCTTAGGAAAATAAACCGCTTGGAACAAGAAAGAAATGCTAGAAAAGGGAAGATGAAAAACCCATGGTTTTGGGTCTCTGTTTTCATATTTGGAATGGTCATTTATTTGTTGTTTTCCAAATGTAATAGGAGGTTTGTTCATCTACAGTTGGCAGGTTAAAGGTGGTTAGGTTATGGATGTAATGGAAGAGGTTTGATGAAGATGGTGTTAATACTTTGTTCTATACTATAATTGAGCATTTTATTGGAACCCCTAGTCATACTAATGCTAGAATACATGATCAACTGAGTAATCTGAGATGTCCTAAGCTGTCTAATTTTAGATGGTATAAAGATGTTTTCATTTCTAGAGTCATGATTCGTGAAGATGGTAATCAACCGTTTTGGGAAGAAAAATTCATTAACGGTCTTCCAAACTTATTCGCCCATAAAATAAGAACTAAGTTAAGCAATGAGCAAGGTCAAATTGATTGGAATAATTTAACCTATGGAAATATAATTAGTAAAATTAACCAAGTTGGTATGAAAATGTGTGTAGATATGAAAATTGGTCGACAAATACAATCTGAGCTACAATCTGCTAAATATGAGTTAGGAAACTTTTGTGAACAATATGGTCTTACGTTAGTACCTCCGTCTAGGAAAAATAAGTTCAATTACCCGAGTCACATTAGGAAAAGTCGTCATTACTCATGAAGAAAACAAGCCTTTAAACGGAATAAAGATAATCATGAGTTCTACAGGAAAAAGAAAGTTTACCCTAAGAAAAATTGGTCAAAAGCACCGAAAAATAGTCGCTTTAAGAAAAGTTCAGACAAGAGCAAAGTTAAATGTTTTAAATGTCAAAAGTTGGGTCATTATGCCTCTGAGTGCAAAGTGAAAGATACTATTAAACAGTTGAAAATCACGGATGAGGAAAAAGACAATTTAATTAAAGTTTTAGAGTTGGGAGACTCTAAAACAAGTGAGATAGAAACACTAGTCGACAGTTCTGAGTCAGAAGCCTACCAGTCCTCTGATTCCCAGTCTAGTTCACCTCGAGTCCAATTTGGTTGCCAAGATAAGTGTTGTAATTCAAAATCACTTAGAGTCCTTACTAGCAAGAAGAGAAAGAAGAGTTATTAATAGAATTAATAAGTAAAGTAGAAAATCTTGAGCTAAAATCGAAGTACCTCAAGAAACTAAGAAAAGTCATTAGCCAAGAAAGACCTAGTCCGTCAACTATCCCTAATAAAATAAGTCTAAATACAACACTAGAAAAGTTTAGCAAGAGAAAAGAAGTCACCCTTCAAGACCTACAATCTGAGATAAAATTAGTCAAAAAGGAAATCATTGAGTTAAAGCAAATGAGTAATAAACTTCAAACTGAGAATTATGAAATCAAACAGAATTTAATTAATCTTCTAGAAAAGGATAATTCTGCGTCTAATAGTCAGTATGAAAGTCCGACCAATTCTGAAGATGAGCCTTCTAATAAACATCAAGCCCTTAAATTAGTAAAACAAGTTAATTTTAGAAAGTGGTATTCTAAAGTCAAGCTAGTTGTCAAAAATTATGAGTTTCACACAGTCGCACGTTTTGATTCAGGAGCCGACCTTAACTGTATTCAAGAAGGTCTTATCCCCACTAAGTATTATAAGACATCCACAGAGTCATTAAGTACTGCGTCGGGAAAATCCTTATAGTTGAATTATGAGATTCCAAAAGCCCATGTTTGTCAAAATAAAATCTGTTTTAAAATTGCCTTTGTTTTAGTAAAAAACATCACCGATGAAGTAATATTAGGATTACCCTTTATAGGTTTATTATATCCGCTCCATGTTGAACATGATGGTGTTAGTTCTATTTATTTAGGAGAAAAAGTCAAATTAGAATTTTTAACTAAGCTTGAGTTACATAACTTGAGAATCCTTCGAAAAAAAATAGTTGCAAAAACAGTTAGTATAATTCAAAACAAAGATTGACAGTTGAAATCTCTTAAAGAAGAAGTTAAGTTTAAAAGAATAGAACAGCAGATTAATGATAAATATTTACAGTTGCAAATTCGAACATTTGAAGAAAAAATTAAGTCTGATATTTGTTCTGATCTTCCTAATGCTTTTTGGCACAGGAAACGCCATGTAGTAAGCCTCCCTTATAATAAGTCTTTCAATGAGAAAAATATACCCACAAAAGCCAGACCAATACAAATAAGTCAAGAAATAATGGAATTCTGTAAAAATGAGATAACTGAGTTATTACAAAAGAATATCATTAGGAAAAGTAAGTCCCCTTGGTCTTGTCCTGCTTTTTATGTTCAGAAAAATGCTGAGTTAGAACAAGCTGTTCCCAGATTAGTTATCAATTATAAGCCTCTTAATTCTGCCTTAGAATGGATTACATATCCTATACCCAACAAAAGAGATTTAATTAATCGATTAGGAAAAGCAGTTGTCTTCTCTAAATTTGACATGAAAAGTGGTTTTTGGCAAATCCAGATTTCTGAGTATGATAGATATAAGACTGCTTTTGTTACTCCTTTTGGTCATTATGAGAGGAATGTCATGCCCTTTGGTCTTAAAAATGCACCTAGTGAGTTTCAGAATATAATGAATGAGATTTTTAATCCATATAGTCATTTCTCTATAGTCTACATTGATGATGTCCTTATCTTCTCTGAGTCCATAGAACAGCACTGGAAACATTTGCATAAGTTTCTTTAGATAGTTAGCCAAAATGGTCTAGTTGTCTCTGTTAAGAAAATTAAGTTGTTTCGAACCAATGTTAGATTTCTTGGTTTTAACATAAGCCAATCCCAAATTCATCCAATTGACAAAGTCATCCAATTTGCTGACAAATTCCCTGATCAAATTCCCTGATCAAATCTTATAATACTTTGTAATTGGCCCAGCCGAGGGTTAGGGATATTGTTTCGGCTAACCAACCCAAACACTTCCGTCCGGATCGGATGAAAATAATTAATATACAAAAGTAAGTATTAAACCGAACCAAACAAAAAAAAAAAAGGCTACAATGTGGGTGCCCCACAAAAAATTGAATATGGCTGCAACTTCGGCCAAATTCAGGATATTTTGTTATATACAAAACATGTGAAGTACAGAAGATCAATAACCGCATTGTAAGAAAGGAAACGTGAGTACAGCCTTTCTACTATGGAATACAAGTACTGGCGAATTATGTTACAGAAATGAACACCCTGCAACATAGTACAAAATCACCACCATTTATCGCCATCTGTACAAAAAGTCAAAAATGGTGCTATGTAAGGCAAATCCTCACATTAATTTTCAGGATTGATAAAACGACGAAACAGCCTGCAACTTCTGTGACATACGTGTACAGAATTTGTGATGTCAATATAGGTATGAACCTAGAAGGACCACCTGCATAAGAAGGCCATATGTGCCACTTCAGCATTCATAGAAAGGGAAAATTGAACGTTGTAATAATTGGAGCAATTTTAATAAGTAATTCTATTCACCTTTCATAAACAACATGATACAAGTTTTGGATGATACACAGTCGGAGTTCAAAACATATGCCATACTTAAATCAGATGCCAGTTGCAAAACATTACTAATTTACCATCTATAGTGTTGAAATCCCCAATACCTTAAACTTTGATTAACAACAGTAGGCATTCGTATTCATCAAACTTGGAAAAGTTGCCAACATAATGTAAGTTGTCTTAAATGAAGACTGGAATCACAACTCTGTACGTACGACATAATTGAAAATAGGTAAATAACTAGGCAATTCCCAAAGCAGTCCTTAATAGTGAATTGAAATGAGGTCAGATATGGAATTTTACCTCATACATAGGCCTCTCCCCTGAAAACCTCGATTGCAAGCTTCAATCGGTAGTAGCCAAACTTGGATGGGTCAATGGTATTACAAGGAATGCCAGCACTGAGATACTCAATATATTTGACGGTCATAATGCCACATGAGGTACTGTCCACCCGAGCAGTATAGAAGTTAGAAGTGCACATACTGACAACATCCACAAAGTGCTTTAAATGAACACAACTTACCCATCACTTTGCTGAGGAACATCGGAAATTCTGCAAATTGTGAATGGGTTAAACATTGACATGTCAATCCCCTTTCTCTTCACCGCTTCAACCTCCGATTTCTCATAAAACCTCATGTCATACAACACCTTTGCAAGCATATGGGTAATAGGCTCCATATGTCGGACAAGCATTCTGTTGGACGTAAAAACAGTATACGAGTCATAGACAGTGGCAGTATGTCGCACAAAGTCAATTTCTACAGCCACCCAATGGGACTGTCGAACATTATACGGGAGATAGACCTTGCGCACTTTCGTCCATGCTTGCGCATAACCATGTTGCCATGAATCGCAGACAAAGTGGTGTACATTTCTGAGGTAGTTAGGCGGAGGGTCAACAATCCTTGAAGCAATTTGTTTCCTCGTAACTCATTTCGCAATTGGCGGTGTAAATGGCTGTAAAAATTGCTGCAAACAATTGTGAAAGACACGTTACATGAACAGGATCCAATGCACCAAACACAACCAACAACAGTACTCCTACCAATGCAACAAATTCAATGACACATAATATGAATACAATAATACCTACAGACAAAACTCGGCAGTTGTCCACTCCGTTCCAAATACTTGAGGATGAGAGAGTTGTCTTTTGAGTATTAGAAACATGGGCATGTCAAGGTGCTGACATTTCACAACACAACAACGACCTCAATATATAAAAAAAAATTTGACACATACTCAAAGTGATCGAATAAGAAATTGATCGAAATAAAGCACAATTCAAAATTGTTACCCTCGAGCTCATCCATGCAGTTTCATCTACAAGTTTGTAAAAAAAATCTGCCCCAACTACAAATGGTTCGAGCTCCAGCTCCGCACTACAAAAAAATAAACTTGCAAAGGTAAAAAACAAAAAAAAAAAAAAAAAAAAAAAAAAAAAAACTGGAGGGGCCCCTTGCACCTAATATGACAATGACACACACACGAAGAATTAGCTACGTAGATATTGTTATTGTACATGACTGCGTACATCAAAAAACATGTATATTGGTTTTGCCAAGTTACAAATCCTAACTTGATGTCACTTTTCCAAGCCTTGCAAACTTGTATCATAGCCTTCACATCGTCCATGGCCACAGGTTTTGTTGGATCAAAACGGGCCTCAGGTGTCTGTGCATGAAAACTAGTAGCCGGCCTATTTTTCCTGGAGGGATCAGTGAATGGACTCAACAATGTTTTTGTGGGCCGCTTCAGTCTGCATCCTTTGCCTTCCGCATCTGGTTTATGAACCGTGGCAATAGCCTCTTTATCCCCTTCATCACCAACCAGATTTATACTAGTTTCCATGGGAGGCCTCGCCTTGCGTCCCACCCCCTGAATTTCTGTCTTATTCCAATCCTCTAACAAATGTAACATTGTTTTATAAATAACTCTATACCCATCCCTATCTTCCGGAGTAGGAAGGAGGGGATCTTCAAGACTAGGAACCTTCACATCTTCAGAAGTAGGAACCTTGTGAGGTTGTTGGTGCACTTGTTTGTCACCAACTGAAGTGTCAATTTCAGCAGCTTCGACTTCCATGGCTGGGAAGGCTTCCACTCCATCAGTAAGGACTTCCGCTTCCCTTTCAGCCCCTTCTATATGCATGGCTGGAAAGGCTTCCACTCCACCACAAACTGTTGCTTCCATTTCAGCCCGTTCTGTATGCATGCCTGGGAAGGCTTCCACTCCATCACCTGGAACTTGTGCGTCCATTTTAGGCCCTGCTGTAGTCGGAGTAGTAGGTTCATTCAAGGGTGACATTTCATTCTACCCTCCTTCATTCATCTGAGCAGTACACACTTCCTCATGGCCTTCTCCACCATATATTTTTTTAACTCCTCCATCTCCAACTTAAAATAATGTTCCACTGAAGCAATTGTTAGGGTCAAATCCCGAATAGCCTTTTTATTTCTGCCACACTCCTTCTCATGCTTCAAACAGTTCTTGTCTACAATAGCTTCCAAGTCTCGAACTCTGTTCCTAAGCCCCCGATTTGAACTACGTAGCTTTGCCAACTCATCCTTAGTGCTTTCTAATTTATGCTTCAAACTGCCAAAGTCATTAAAAGACCATTTGCCCTGCATAAAGTTATAATGCAACAGTTAGAAAGCTTACAAAAAATAAGAAAACTATTTCCACTTCATTCGTATCGTATTCTCTACATTTTCACAACGTTGGAAAAAGGTCATGCTCACCTTAGAAGAGGAGGGAAGGGTAGTTGTTTCCTCAACATCCGCCTCTTTTTCTTCACTAGAAGTGCTGGTTTTGTCTTCACCCTCATCCCCAAACAATTGAACAATTTCTTCATTATTCTCATCATCACCCCAACTCCAGTAAGGTTGTTGCTTCTCAATATCAGTCGATCGGAGAAGTTGCACATCAACCTCCAATTGAAACACATCTAATAAATCAATGAACTTTTTACTTGTTCCTAATCATAACATGACTAATACAAACTGAACTAACCTCAAAGTTTTCATAAACCTGACTCATAACCTCCCGAAAATGGGCCACCGTGTTGCTCCTCCAATGTAATATTCAAGGGATGTGCCTATTGTCTTCATGGACTGTGAAATGCAATGCTTCCAATGCTGGGAAGACTTCAAAAGCCCAAATTTGTTGACAACAATCAAACATCAAAATCTGTACATGTATTTAAATGAACTAAAACATTGTTGGATATGTGTTCACCTGAACAGTGAAGCCAAACCCCCTTATGATGTACTCTCTTGGTCTACCGCATTCCATCCTTGTCTGCGCTCTCTTTCCACTTTTGTTGGGCTTTTTTCTGTTTTGGGGCACCTTCACTCGTTGGTAATCAGCAGAAACTGCCCTCAAAAGTGAAGCATTTGTCATCGCATATGACACGGCGCCCCATGGATACTTGTCAAACTCTTCTAAGTCTTCGGCCAACTTCAAATATCGCATGTCAATAAGCACATGCTTTTCAGTACCCAGTAGCACAAAAATGGCAAAATAGACCATTCCAAGCTTTAACGCATCGTCATCATTTGTGCACTCGATGAAGGCAGTGTGTAGGTCCAAAAGGGTGGCAGGTTTATTGCTACTGAAGTATTTTCGCTTCAAGGAGCGATTGTCATTTGTCGCCTTCGGAATGAAAGGGAGCTTTCCGAACTTTAGCCCCGTGATGAGGCAAAAGTGTTGGGCTGTGAATTGTATCAACTTGTTACCCACAATGAATTTTATCTCGTTCACCTGTGTAACTGTCTTAGGATCAGCCTTCCTCATCAACAGCCCGTGGACAATTTGTGAATTCCACTTCAGGTCCTCTATCAGTAATAGATGACCAAAACAACTCCCCTTGAACCTCTGTAACTGCTGCGTATTGAACTTTGCCTTTATTGTTGTAATGGCGGTCCTTGCGTGTGAAAGGGCAAATGGCTTTCCTTCATACTTCTCATCCTCAGGAATCATAAGCTTTGCTTTACAAGCCATTCTCGAGTTCCCTGCACAACAACATCATATATATGGATCATTGGTTACCCTTATTTCATACGTACATTACCCAAACTAATACTTTCAAGCCATTTTAATATATGTATATACATATGACAAAACCATAATTTTTTTTAAGCCTCTTTTCTACTCTCCAACTCTGTCCACACTCTGCTATTATCTACATTCCCTTCTACCAAATGTACATTCGATTCCATCCAAAAACCAAATACCACCCAAGTGTGAAAACAATTTCATGAACCACGGATCCACTTGATACAGGATTTTGGCGAAATGGTTACAACAATTACTCCAAATGCATCAATGCCTACTAAAATCTACTCATTACCATAGTCATATACATGTCTAGTCATATGCAATACAGTAGCACACATGGAACATCAGTATTGACAGTTATGGACTCTGTGTACAAACTAGACACGTCAAAATGTTACTGCAACTGCACCTGCTAAACCTAGCTGGATGAACATGAAATTTCTAACCAGATACTAAAGCCCAATAAAATACCATTTTCAGACATATATGAAAAGCTGCAAGCAAGGAATAACAACAAAATTTAGCAGGTTTTATAGCACAGGGAACAGAAACATCCCACGCCAACTTACATTAGTATTTCAAATTCACATAATTAACCATTAAGACTGGAAGGGTGCAAAATATGCTACTAGGTGCTGAAACAGCAATGATACCAACAAATTTACTTATGCATTATTACTCAACAACTAATTCAGGGCCTAGTGAGGTAAAGTTGTGTTATAATGGAATAGCCATTGCCACCAGAATAAATTCCCACACTAAATATGCATCATAAAATGGAAGTGAAAACACGCATCACAAATGAACCAATCGTAGATGACAAATAGCAAATTGAGGCACTTCATCGTCCATAGAGCAAAATCAATAGACCAATACAAGTTTCATCCAAGCATGAAGTAATTCACAGTTAAAATACATTATTATTGCAATCTCTCTAATTACTAAACTTCACAAAATCAGTCACAGGTTAGTGAAATTATCCTTCTCAAATGAAAACCATACAAATACACAAACTAGTCAATAACAAATACAAAACCCACCTTAGAATCACTCGTTTTGTGCACATAACCGAATTGGAAATCCCAGCAACACCTACAGAAAATCACGAATTTTGTCTATGACAGGATTGAGAAGGAGGAGGAAGTATGTGAAAATAGTCAGAACCGAAACCAAGATTTATGGTTTTTTGAGGCCCTGAAGGAGCAGAGGAGAAGAGAAAGACGTCGATTCAAGACATGAAAAGAGAGGGAACTGAGACATCGTTTAAGGGAGAGAGAATTTAACGAAGAAACCCTCTCTTTCACCGTCAAGAACCCCCTCACCAAACCCTAACATTAACTGCAGAGAGAGAACGAGAGAGTGCTGCTTAGGTTTTCGCGACAGAGGGAGAAATAGAGTGGTGGTGGCCGATGGAGAGAGAAAGCGCCGAGAGAGGAAGAGACAACCGTGACAAAGAGCTGAGAAAGAGAGAGAAACCACAAGTGTTAGGTCGGCAATCCATGGCCAATAACTCCCCAATAGATATGTTTATATATGGAGGGCACTTTGGTCATTTCACATCCCCAAGTGATTATATTAGAACACAATTTGTAGCCTGATCATTTCAGCACACTATTTCTGAAACGTGATTACACCAGCATATTTCCCAATTTTTTTTACCTAGCGCCCGGGCCTTGTTTTGTTGCTGAAAACAGGGTTTTGGGCCAAAACCCCCGCCCCCTGCTGGAAATGCTCTCATTGTGCGGTCCAATCCAAACTGCTCCAAACCGTCTTGGGTGACATAATCAAGCACGTTAGCCATGATTAATTAATATACTATCAAAGTTGTATGACAATAAGATGAGATATTTTACCTGACGAGATAAGCCTGAATTTACTCAACTTGACTCTCATGGAGGAAAATTCCAAAAAAGTGTAGCCTGTTCTCAACTCTCAACAAGAAGTCCAACCAACCATTGAAAAAAGAAAGGAAAAAAAAATTAATCTTCATTCATAATCAGCGGCAGTGGTCTTGACCTGAAACAAGTCAAACATCAAAGCGGGCACGTAACGTAGTCAAGATATTAAGGCTAACCAAGTGGACCGGCAATACCTGATCAAATAACATTCAGCAGCTGCACAACCAGAGCAGAAAGCTTTTCTCCCAGGAGAACACCACCTGAGCAAGAAGATGGGTGGCTGCGACGTCCATGGGAACCTGAACCAGGAAAATTTTAGTGCCCCTATGCCTTGGATTGGCATTTATGTAGCAGCAGCATCCCTGGCCTGCCTAATTGCAATGGCTGCAGATGTCGTCCACGGCTTTCGACACTGGAAACTCTGGTTCCCTAGCAAGTTCTTCTCCATCAATGCCACTTCTTTGACCTTGATAGGCGTAGCAGTTAAATTGTCAGTGGATCTAAACACTGCGATGCCTAGCCGCCAGGATCAACTCGCCAAGCTTAGCAGTTCTGTCTTGATCTGCACGGTGATGGGTAACTCTATGCCTTCTCTTGGATCCACGGAAAACAAAGAAATCATGATGAATATAATTGCTTTTGGAATACTGGTTATTACCCTTATCGTCAATATCTGCATTCAGCTAGCTACTGGTGCAATCTTTGTTTTCTGCAAGGAGCATGTTTTCATCATGTTCATCATGCTTATTTTACTTATCATGATGAATTTCTCTGCTTTAACTATTCCCGTATCTAAACGTTCTTTAGAACACAAGTACAATAAAAGGTACCAATTAGCTCTGAAAGAAGGCATAAATGAAACTGATAAAAGAGTGGCTAGCAAACTTAAAGAACATCTGATGAAACATTGGATGATGGCTCATACCTCTAGTCCCCAGTTTGTGATGGGGCGCTCAGCGACGTGCACAGCTTCTGGAGCAATCTGTCTTTTGAGTACCATGATTTTAGCAGAAGCCATGCTTCGGACTTACTTGATGCCCTGGTCATTTACATTTTGCAGAGGTGAGTCTGACTACAAGTGGTCAACAACTTTGGTTCTTGCTACACAAACAATTGCAGTCGCAGTTGGTACAATTGGTCCTGCATCTAGATGGTTCATCGCCATAAATTTCAGGTGTGCAAAAAGAGGAAACAAAACCTACAAAGGAGAATTCAAAATAGAAAAGTACTGGACACAGAGACTGAGAGAGTTGAAAGAGTGCCCATTATCCTTAATAAGATTCAAAACTAGGCACAGCCGGAAACTTGCTCATGACACAAGAAACAAATTTTTGGATTTGTGTATTGGAATGCAGACAGGGAATGTCATAATGAGTAAAGCAATTCGGCTCATTTCCATTTTATTTGTAAGCAGGATCTTGTTATGCTGCGACTTCTGCAAACAGTGGAAGAAGAAGTTCAAATTCAACACTGATTTTGACAACTCAGGGCCAGAGTCACAGCCAAACCAAAAGCCAGATCTTAGCTGTTATGTTCTGCATCTTGAAGGTGAGGATGCATTGGTTGAGCACATGATGAGAAGTAATTGTGATGCTACAGATCATTGGTTTCAGAGGGGAAAGAAAAGAGAACCTAAATATATCGTTAAACTGTTGGAGAAATCAACCTTTTCACAAGGATTCAAAGGAGTAGCAGATTTCGACAGTGAAAAAGTTCCCTGTCTAGACTTGGCAGAACCACCAAACAGTTGGGCTCTACCTGTTGTAACACTAACTAGTATTGCTCTTGCACTTCCAAACATCAGCAGTTGTTCAATAAAAGAGTTAATAGGTGGTGTCCATGAAGGGATCATGTACATAAATTTTATTGAAAATTTCCTGGATTCTAAAGAGGATGTTACCAACATCAGAAAGACAGCAGATATGGTGTGGCTAGGAGTTGATCTCTACCGTACATGGCTGGATGTGGATCTCCGTAAATGGTCACTTCATGGAAAGAGCTCAAAGGAGATACTTGAAGGACTTGCTGAAACTGCAAAATTCATATTTGAAGAATCTAAAAAGAAGCAAAAGACTACGAATGTATGTTTAAGAGATACCCCTTCAAAATGGCCTGTCAAGGAATTGGCTGCTAATTCCATGTATAGGATAAGTGAAACTCTTCTGCTAAATTATGAAGGCAGCCTCAACCAGACAGGTGAGAGATTATTTGAGGCATTGACTGTCATGATATCTGACATACTGGCTGCTTGTCTCACGAATATGAAGCAAGTTATAAAGAGGAAGTGTTTGAACAGCACCATTGAAGAGAGGGAGGAAAGTGTGAGGCATGCCGTTTGCATTCTCGGTAAAACTGAAAACATTCTGAATATTCTAGACCAGAAAATTCCCCCAAGTATGGACCCTCGTCAGATTTCAAGCATTGATGAGTGGCGTTTGTTGCACAAGATGGAGAGCCCTTTGGCCTTCCCTTCTTCGTCTCCATCAGAGGGTGACACAGCCTCTTCTGTTTCAAGTGACTTCTACGTGATCATTGAATAGAATGCACAATCCTGGAGCTTACAACAGAGGCAGCTTATGATTCACATGTTACTACAAAAGTAGCTGAGGCAACTTTCAACTTCTGCTTTACATTTTTCTTTATGTTGATATATGAAACTAATGTACGTATGTAGTAGAGATTTTATCTAGCAGGAAAACTATAAGTTATAGAGCATGATCGTATCTATTTTCGAATCGATGCCTTCCCATGAGAAATGCTTACTTTTATTCCTGGTTTTTCTGTCAGTAGTTTTATAAATATACATTAGCAAAGCTACCACAGAAAAGCTAACAGATTATCACCCTCTATGTGAGAATACATGGTTTTATTTTTTGGATAGGAATACACGGTTTGTAATAGGTATTGATGATTCAAATGCAAGGCTCATGAATGGAGGATTAGGAAGCAAATTCTCAGTAAATTGTGGAGAATTCAATCATTGAACAGACATTAGCATTAAGAACTAGGAAGGTAGCTATGCACATTGAACAAATTTCCAAATTG